AAACGAGACAACATCCAGCGAGTCCTACTAGAGGGTCAAATAGAAGGGAAAAGATACATGGGAAGGCCAAGAACAGAGTGGATAACAAATATATTAAAGAGTGGACTGAGACAGCAAAATGTGAAGACCTCGTCAGAAAAGTACAGAACAGATAGAAGTACAGAATTGTGACAGTCAACCTTCCTGAGGAAGACGGGACATGATGATGATGACAGGCTAAAAAAGCTAACTGAATCCCAGGCACAAACGTAGCTCAATTTTAAAAGGGTTTTGTATTTAAAAATAGGATTACGTGTGACAGGCTAACTGAATCCCAGGCACAAACGTAGCTCAATTTTAAAAAGGTTTTGTATGTAAAAAATAAGATTACGTATGTGTGTGTGTATGACTGCTAAGTGGAACTATATTGTGAACACGGACTAATAGTGTGATCATACATAAGTGAAAATATATGAGTTAATATTATCCCACGAATTGGACATAACACGACAATGGTATTTTAATTAAAACTGCGGACAATGGACAAAATGTAGCATACTGTGAGTAATGCAACAATATAACAAGGGTTTTTACCTAGGATTCAGTAACAGTGCAAACAATATACATCTCTAAGATACCGCCTAGATCAAAACGACATTCTAGATGAGAGATTTTTCATGTGCATGTTCGAAAATGTAACAAGGTTTAAGATTTTGATATATCAAAACATATTTCTAGACAAAGGCATTTGGTGTTCGTATACAGAACTAATTTTTTGTTTCAACTATTGCAATGAACTATTATTAAATTATCGCACATTTTTGTTACTAATACTGATGACAACTTTCGTTCATCTCTTAACTAAAGCATTTGAGAGAACGTGTTTAAACACTAGCACATCGTTATGTTCGTGTTTAACCACTAGCACATCGTTATGTTAGGAGGTGATAATGGAAACATTCCACTCAGCTTGTTATTCAGACGAGATTTGTGTCTCTGTCTTAACATTAATGGTGAAAATGTACTCATCCAGGATGCTGAAATCAAACTTGATAACGAGGAACCCACTTTGAGACAATAAAGTTCGAAAGCGGTTTGAGTGGGCAATGAAGACTTTATTACCTATTCATTCCGTCTTCAAACTTTGTCAACCAGGTTGTTGTTTTATCTTAAATGATATTCTTCTCCTCTTGATTCAAAGTCAAACTACAAACTAAACTTTAACGTGGTTGCATTTAAATATGAAGATACCTGTCCGACTATCTGTTTAGTGAACATTTTCCCATCAAATCCACCTATTGAGTTTCTCTCTAATATTTCCGTTTGACTAGCTCATTGTGTTATTTTCCTGTTTTATATATCTGTTTATTTACTATATCAATGTATTGTCTTTTTTTCTACTTTATCAAAGCATTTCAAGTGTTAAAGAACAGATAAGAAAAATTAGATCGTAAATCTACTAGTCTCACGCGCCCTACCTGATAAGTATAAATGTTAAGGAACAATATGTCTATGAGATTAATATATATATATATTACACATAGCATACAGTGTTTTCGCTGTTTCAAGGAAAACAGCTATAGACATAAAACTTTAGACGAAAGAAGAAAACCAATGATTTATGATACACCTCATCTATCCTTGAGCATCAGTGATGTATTTTTCCCTTGTTTCAAAGGGAACTTTATTTCGTTTTTTATGCACCCATCTTACCAAAATTAGCCGAGAGTGTAAAATCCAATTTTAGAGTGATTTAGAGCAAGCATGCGTGTCAAGGAAAGAAATAATTTAGTTCAAAAGGTGGCGTGCATTGGTTTAAAAGAAGATTTGTCACTTTGAAGTGCTGTGATCTATAGCAAACAGCACAACCGTTCATTTAATACTCATTTATAATGTTAATTAACCAAATAGTATATATTATTTTCGTTTCTATGGCATAAGGCAATAGAAATAGTTCTAGAGAGTAAATACTTTGTTGTTAATTACGTGAGATATCATTATATTGACTTGAGTAATCAATGGTTTCAAAATCAATGAAGCGACTCTCTGTATAATCTAATATAACCAGTCATTAAAATATTCAAATCACGCAGAACTAAAAGAAAAAAGTGATAAAAGTTGAATAACTGCTGCAAAAGGCAAAAACTTGGAGGAAAATAACCGCGGAAATAGCATCGAAAAGGCGTCTCTTTTTTTACAATTCATTTCCAAGTCTCAGGTGAAAACCGTCATGCGAGAAACTGAATAAAAAAAGTGGGGTAAGGTCTGGGTGCTTAAACCTATGTCCCAAACTGACTCGCCAGTTGCTCGATATCAGAGGCTGGTTGTGGAGATGTTAAATCAGATAATACACTTAATTTAATCAGTCAAGAATGCAAGTGTTGTGCAACGGTTATAGCATTTCCTTTTTGTATTATTATTATCTTGCGCGATTTGAATGCGTTTATGATCGTTAAATTATTTTCATTATTGGCTTTTGATGCAGATAGTTCACATTCTTACAACTGATGTTGACACTCTTATAGCATGTATAAATACACTATAATATACTGCACGCGACGTGTTTATATTTTAAACTACACGTAGATTTACTATATTACGTGCTTGTATTGTAAATCAATACGTCAGTTTGTCGTACCAACAACTCTATAGATTTAACCTTCGTGTTAATATAAAGTAAACTTACATGTTATAATAAATTGTAATTCATTACATCTCTATGTAGATTTTCTATATAAATATGTAGGTAAACTAAATCTACGTGAACATTAAATATATACAGAATGTAAGTATAATATACTTACGTGCTAATAATACATGAGCATGTCGAGTGTAATTTATTAAATTGATGGTTAAACAGTGAGGTTACATCTGACGCCACCTATCATTTCTGCAGGAAAATAAATTATTAAATTGTTATTTTAGCGCAAAGCCACGTTACGAGCTATCTGTGTTTGTCCACTGCGGGGAATCAAATTTGGGATTTTAACGTTCTAAGTTCTTTAACTTATCGCTGCTCTACTTGGTGTCATTGAAAGAGTTAATACATTTTTATTTCTGAAATAAAAAGTTCATGGATTTGTAAATAGAAATATTGTATATGTTACTATTTATTTTCATCTGATGTTGAGAAAATCTAAAAGAAAGAAAAAAATCTTTAAAACCATCTGTAAAATGAAGAAAGAAGTGTTAAATCTGTTCTCGTTATCCCTAATGAACTTCACGTGCATCGCCGGAACGTAAACGTGATACTTTCACCTTCTCCTGGTGGCGAGGATTATTACACCGGAATCTTGTTATCGAGTTTTTCGTGGACTCATTATTAGATTTCGACAGGTTGAAAAAACACATTATTTGAGAAATCATGATGTCCTATAGCCCATTACCGCAATTACTCCCTTACGGCTAACTAATTAGAAGTTCGTATGCTGTATTTCTATATCTGACAGGTCTGCGTGAATGTATGTGTACTCGTGACAGGTGAACGTTTTCGGATCTGGTGCATTCTCATTTTTTATCAAATTATATTTCGATCGGGCGACCTTTGCGTCGTCTGGCTGAGTCCATGTTGTTCCGCTTCCGGTAGAGTGAGTGAGTTGCCTGCCAAGAGAGTATTATCCAAGTATCTAATCAGTCTGAGGATATTTTGAAGAGAGTATTATCCAAGTATCTAATCAGTCTGAGGATATTTTGAAGAGAGTATTATCCAAGTATCTAATCAGTCTGAGGATATTTTGAAGAGGTATATATTGCCCGACTGAGATCTAGAAACTACGAAACGTTATGATGCAACAATACCCACTTAAAACAATGAGAAGTAACATGACGTCAATTCACAACAATTAAACTACACAACAAATGATTCGTAAACAGTTACGTAAGCAAACTTGTCATAACTATCGCTTCTAAAAATACTAAAATTAACGTTCGCGCTTTATAACTAACTAAATCATAACTCTCGTATTAAATGTAAATGAAACAGTCGTGTATATCTAACAAAGAAATAAAACTTGGTTCACTAGGATACACAGTATTTTAGGTTTTTGTTCGTGTAAATTGTAACAGTATTTTCTTACGTCATAGTGAGAAAACATGTTACATTAGTGTGGCCAAAAATTTTTGATCAGGAACACAGACGCTATTTTTTACTTTTAAAATAATGAAAGAAACGTTTTCGATTTACGTTTTTTCGTTAAACGTTACCTTCTTTAAGAACGTATCCCTTTCGTATATCGAAATATACCTGTAAAAAAACTGTGTTCATTTTTAGATAAGGATGAGGGTGAAGTAAGAGAGAGAAAAGCACACATAATAAGATAGAAAATAATGTACGACATTTGTTCTGTTAATAATGTTCAGGAAGTTGAACTATGTACATAAAACTCAATCAATACAGAAATTGTTGCCTCGATATATATAGGCGACTGAGTTAGTGCAAGTAAGTTAAGTTAGTGAAAGTAAAGACTGCGTGATTGTGAGTTTAGCCATAAAGAGCGTACATAGGTGATTATCACAACTTTGTATTGTAACGGACATTCTAAAGTAATTGAACCAGCCTGTGTGGACTTTGACGAAAAAGAGACAATTATTTAAAGCTCTGGATAAAAGTGTGATAACCAATAGTGTAACGAATTTTTGTACATACGTTTGACTTGTTTTGAATATATTATTTTAAAACAAGTGTACTGTGTATTGTGACTAGACAATGAAACAGGCTAGAGTCACCAGGCTTGCTCTTTCAAGTGGACTATTTTGGACATGGTCAAGGTAATATCATTTCTATTTCCAGCAGAGGTAGCAGTCTCGTCAGGTGTTCTCATGTTTGTTATTTAATTTCATCAAATAGGAAAAGTATTCACTGAAGTTTTTTATATTTCTTTTCATAGATTTAACCTGAATGTTTCAATTAACTCGGTCATCAACCCTGTTCTTCATTTCTCCTTTTTGATTTAGCATAACTCTTGTTTTTATTAACAGTTAAACTGTAATTTTTTTCTTAGTTACTTCTCCTTATTTTTCAGAAGAACTTAGGGTTGTTGGTTGTCTAGACAGATAAACAGGAACCCAGAAAACTTCACGGTACTGGTCAAAGTTGTTGATTGTCTAGACAGATAAATAGGAACCCAGAAATCTTCACGGTACAGGTCAAAGTTGTTGATTGTCTAGACAGATAAACAGGAACCCAGAAAACTTCACGGTACAGGTCAAAGTTGTTGATTGTCTAGACAGATAAACAGGAACTCGGAAAACTTCACAGTATAGATCAAGGTTGTTGATTGTCTAGATAGATAAACAGGAACCCGGAAAACTTCACGGTATAGATTTTTTTCTTCTTTTTTTAGTTTAGGAAAATTTTACATAATTAAGGTTTTTCTAAAATATAGTTTTGGTTAAATATTTATGCCACATGATAATAGTTTAGCCATTTAGCTAACATTTTACATTATATTATTGTAAATATTCAAGCGTTTTTTATTCATGTAAAATGGGATCGCTAGCTTAGACTGAATTATCTAATTACTTTCTACAAATCTTCAGTAATCATATAAATAATAATTATTAATAAATGCTGGTTTTCTTCGTCAACTGACCTTTTTGTTTCTCTAAAAACGTTTAAAGTATGCATACACATCCCCAACTATACCATATTGGACACTATTGCCACTCGACTTACAAAACCAGAGCTAAACAACAATAAACAGGCTCTACCTCTGAAACTTAGTCTCTAGATCATAGAAACTTCAATATTTGACCCTGTTTAAAATTTTTCAAAATATCTTACTAGCATTTTGATTATATAGGTTTTACTTTTGTGTTGATTGAATTAAAATAGTTTCGCATATAAGCACTGTCGTGATATATGATGGATATTTCCATCAAAGCAATTTTTAATTGCATCGATTATATAATGTGAATGAAACACTAAAGCGTATTAAAGAGAAATATTGTTACCATGAAGGATTGTTTTTCTGAGGTATCACACTACTACAAAAGACAACGTGTATACACAACCCACCAATAAGTAAACAACACCTCAACGTGTAAATACAGCTTTAGCTCTGAAGAGATCACAGAATAAAACCAGACATGCCACGAATGAAAAGATTCCTGGAATAGCATATATTTTCAGGGGTTGTTAGATGGTCAAAATTAGCGAAAAAATCGTAAAGTCACTTGTAAGCCAATGTTCACAGTGAATCGAGTGATAATGCAGTTCCTGCCACGTATGAAAGAAAGAGTTTTTGCACTTCCGAACACCCAAAACCAACATAACTGTGAGAAGTATGGAGAAAGACCCACGTTAAACAGTCGATACTACTGTTGAACAGGTGCAAGTGTCCCTCAACACCATCAGAAGTTATCTTCATAGCAGGGGCTACAGTGGCAGACAATTTAGATGGATATCACTCCTGGGAGATATCGTAAGTCGACAGAAGTGAACATTATGGATTCTATTAGCCCTCCTAAGTTTTGGGGCACTAAATTTTGTCAGTTCTCGGACAGTGGACGCATCTCCATTTGGGAACTATGCTCTTAGGAATTATTGTCGAACCAACTGAGAAATACAACAGTATCTCTACCAAGGTTTAGGGTGCTAGATGATCACAGCTGGTGGTATGGGAAAGGACGGAAACCACTCAATACGTCACAATTCTCGGACAATGGACGTATTCATATCCTCCTATGAACTATTACTGAACCATCTGAAAGGCACGACAAATGCGGCTTTATTTCTGTTAAGGTTTATGGTGCTAGAGGATCACAGTTGGTGGTATGGGAAAAGATGAGCATTACTCAATACGTCACAATACTCTAGAAAAATAGTATACTCATCTAGGCCAATGACCACCTTACCTATCAGACAAGGCATTGTTTACGTGCTAGATGGGGCCAGGCCAATAGCATCCCAAATAACTAGCTTTTAAGAATATTGTCATCCAAATTGTTCATAAGGAATGGAGTACAATCTCACAAGCCCTGGAATCAGTTCATATATTGTAAATGTGACTTATAACTGTATTCCTGCCTTAAATATTACAAAGGGCAGATCCAATACAAAGAAATTGTAATATCCTTCCCTTTGTTTCATTTTTGTTTATCTAATGAAATAGCATTCTTTCTGGAGTGGGTGTCTATTTAGTTTTTGGAGGGCAGTGCATTTAACAAACCAAAAAAATTAATAAATTCTAAATCCGAGCCTTTTATTTTTTTTCTGGGTCGAGATTAATGTGTGAAACGACTGAGAAAAAAACGGCCTTTTGTGTAGTTTTGTAAACTAACGAGAATAATGTTGGATAAAGAACCACCCACCCACCCCCACCCCTCCCGGTGGCTGAACGGTAAATTTGGTGGTATATAACCGCGGTGGACTCAATACAGACAGCCCATTGTGTAGCTTTAACAGTTGATTAAAGAAAAGTATTTATATCATTGCTCTGACCTGTTCAGATTGACATGTAATATGACTGTAAAGAAATCATTGTTCTTGAATGCCAACAATAATGGGCTAGACAGCTACAAAGGATATAAACGTTTTTATATACATTATTAAGCAAAAATACCTTTCGTAGTCCTAACTCAAATAATGGTTTTGTAATTTCAGGTTTTGTCTCATCATAAAGATATGAACGTGAGGGTATTTAAATATACACGACCTACAAGTATCAAGTGGTTTTTGCGATTCCTAGAAAACCTAGTTATTAAGTGAAAATTTACTCACGACAAACATTTGGGCTGCAATTTCCAAGTATTCTCCTCTCCACTAAATTGCTGACCTTCGAGTCATAATAGACTGCAGTGTGAATAAATACAACTATTACTTCGTAATACTTGAAACGGTAAACAAGAAAAAAGGGGTAGGGGGAAGAAAACAAACGTTCGTCGTAATAATGCGTTTTTTGTTTCTGTTTAACACTTTTGCCAATACAAAATAAGTGTATATATTGTTTTATGGAAATATACACCTTGCACGTGGAATATGTAAAAAATAGAGAAGACACGATAGTGCTGGAATGAATTTATATTTTTATTTGATTGTTGGGTTGATGGAGTTTTTGTCTGTTATATAACAAAGAAGCTGAGGTACCCATCCTTTGTCCGGGTTATGAACTTAGAAAAATGTGGGGTGAATGCTATGATAAATAACACAAACATCTTAACTTTCACACAATCTATTTATAACACAACATCTCATTACGGTATTCATTATTACCTCACCAAAAGTTTTGTATAAGCTTTAATAACTCACTATGTATATACATAAAACATGGTAAACATTGTGTGATGGTCAGGGTGACTTTGTACGAAGAGGTATCGGCCAAAGTAGTGGCAGTACGGGTGCTTTCTGTTACCCGTTTTCAACACCCTGCTCTTAATGTCCTTCCACACTGTTTCACGTTATTAACTACTTGACGGTTATTGGCTGCAGAAGTGTCTTATGGGCCGAAGTTGAAAGGTCACAGGTCAAAGTAGGAAGTAAAATTCATAATAATTAATTTTTAAATCCATTAAATTATAAAAAATTACAATTTAAAATAGTAAAAAAGGTAAATAATCTAAAAACTACATATGACTTAAAATAACATATTCAAAAACACATTCAAATTTTCAATAAACTTTCATAAAATAACTCTTCAATTTCTCACAAGAAAACGAAACAAAAACAAGAAAATAAAGTGTTTTTAATAAAGTTTGAGTTTTGATAACACATGCATTAAAATATTTCGAATATCTTAAAGGACTATCCTGAGATTTCTCACATAAAACTTATGTTAATTCATTGACCTACGCAGTGTATGTAGGTGTCAGTTTTGTGCCTGTAGCAGTTCCTCTTTTTGTATTAAAAGTAATATTACATAAATCAAATAATTAATATGTCTTTAAAACAAATATCAATAAGTATTTTTTTTGTTATTCCATCATGTTAGTGTTCTGGATAACTTTTTGCGATATATTTTCCAATTGTAACACATATCGTTCGGTACTGGCTTGTAAAATAAGTCCTTCAAATAAGTCCGAACCTTTGCAATGAAAGAATCAAAACTTCATCAACAAAAGTCCTGATATGAGTTGGACAACGTTGTCGAGTTGTTGTTTTATTAGTGCAAAGCCATCTGCACTCTGCCCACAAAATGCTCAAAAATAGTTTCTTAACAATAACGTTGATTACTTTTTTAACATTCCTTACTATCCGAAAAAAGGGGGGAACAATATTTTATAATTAAATTCTGTAATCAAATGAACAGTAGAACTAAAATTAGACTACCTTTAAAGAACACCCGTATTCCTTTAACAGAGTTAATGCACCAAATATATTGACAGTGTGGTATTCTCACGTTCACTAATTTATCTGCGAGTGATCGGGAAGGAGCCATAGAATAAATGGAGGGTCGCCAAAAATGTTGACTAGGGCGCTCGACTTGCAACCTCCGGGTTCGAACCTCCGTCACACCGAACATACTCGCTGGTTCAGCCGTGGGGGTGATATATACTGTCGATCAATCCCACTATTCGTTGGTAGCAGAGTAGCCCAACAGTTGGCGGTGAGTGTTGTTCATTAGCTTCCCTCCATCTAGTCTATCACTGCTAAATTAGGGACGGCTAGCGCAGGTAGCTCTCATGTAGCTTTGCGCGAAATTCCAAAGAAACCAAAAAATGTTTTGAGGAATACAACCTGAGTTCTATTAACCTCGAATGAGTCAGGACACAAGCTTAATCACAGTGAAATATTCTTTAATTCCAACACGCAAACACAATCAAAGTTTAATGTCAAATGTATTTTGTGGTGCCTTTACTAGAGAGCTCTCAGTGTATTCAAGGCAAAGCAATATCTGCAATAATCTCAAATCATCTTGTTCCAGTGTGCATTTTTCATGATTTATTTTCTATGAATTTTGTTTTTGTTTTTTTTTGCTTCATGTATTTTATTTTCAAGTACATCATTGAATATGGTTGTTTATTTATTATTATTTATTGTATTATTTTTCTTGTAGTTAAATCTTTCAGTCAGTGAATAAGAGCCCTTGATTTCCGTGACTTCTTTAGAACCAAGAAGCTTTAATGGAGATTACATGAAAGTTGTTTTAATTTTAATAGCGGATTTTTTCCATAATTCAGCTATGCAAATTTCGAAAATAATATTATTTTGTTTCTATCACGTAAGAATATTTTTACAAATCGAGAAGAAAAAACTTACTTAAATCAAATTATTATTTCGTTTACCACAATGAACATTTTTTACTATTATGTTTGTTAACAAAATGCAAGCTGAAGAAAAGGGAAGAATATCGATGTCAAACGAATATGCATC